CAGTGTTTGGACCCTCAACCCTTATTCGAGGCAGTCTTTTCACGTGTCTGCATGGGTAGCACGAGCTTCTCCTGAGCAACATGTATGTCATTTCACTCACTCGTTTGGGGATGGACCTGAGTCTCCTTCCATCTTTAGCATGGTTGCCCTGAGCACGTCTAGGAGGATTGAAAATCTCCCTATGAGATCTTTCACCTGCAGCTTACAAAAGCCACCCCAAGCTGAACTCGCGGTGAGGAATTGAGAGCAAACCCCCTGGGACTGCCACTCCTAACGTTTGGCTTTTCGACTATGTGCACAAGATTGGGTTTGGCCACATTACGTGCCTGAGACTCCATGCCCACCCTTTGAGGATGAAGGTTTAGATGCTAGTCATTCCTTTCTTCTGGCATCGGCCGCATGTCCATATCTCGCCCACGAGCAGTCCTCCCATTCCCTTCCTCTTTCTCACTAATATTTCTATTCACCCAAATCGAGTTTCGAACACTTCGAAAATTAGGGTTCTCCTCGTCTTCGTAAATCTTTCTCCCCAGTTTCCTTGTAGACATGTTCAAGCCAAATCTCTCCTTTCCGATCGGGGGATCAAATGCACAGTCACGTTTTGAATGACCCCCCCCCCCCCCAATAGTGGTAACAGAAACTCGGAAGGTATTCATATTTCAGGCTTACCCAGAAGCAACCAAGCTCTTCACTAGCTGCCATGAGTTGGGAGCGTAGAGGTTTGGTAAAGTCTATGAGTGCTCACACTTTCACAAGGAACTCATCCGTGTTTTTGCAGGCGAAGACACCTGCTTCCAGATGCTGACCAATAGTGGCATTCGCAACTTTTCGACCAAACTGATTGGTGCAGCAGTCATCCTTCACGTCCCAAAGTTGGACGTGGAATGGAGCAATGGCCAATTCATCAAAGGTTCATTTTGTTATCGTGGGCGTCCAGGACCGAAGATGGAATAGTTCGTCCTTGATAACCCACTACAAAAAAGACTGGCAGATGTTACCAGACGATAGGCGTCACAAAAGGCATTTTCTCGTCACAGTAGGGTTGTTTTGACGAAATACGGTCGTTGGTGAGTCGTGGGGTAAAGGTCCCTCGCTAATAGTATAAATGTACTTGCGTCAGAAAATAATACATTTGTGACAATTATTTTTTGTCATTATGCAAAATATCGTGATCAGAAAAGAAACGTACTTAACGAAATTGTTTGACCAAATCTAATTTTAAGGGATGAAATATTTTTTATGAGGAGTACATTTTGTTAGATAAACTATAATTGAGGAAAACATGTTTGTTAGTAAAGAAAAAATTTGTTAATAAAAAAAATGTCATTTTTTTCCGAAAATACCCTTTGTACGTTTTGACCACAGTTGTTTGTCGTAAAAGAACATTTTTTGCGAGGGTTAATTATGTTCCTAAAACACCCCTGTGGTATTTATAATGAATATCTTGCGTCACGAAAAACTATTCGTAATAATTGTAAATTTAGTTTCCAACGAGAAAATAAGGTAAGAAGAAAATATCGAATATTTGTGATGCAAAAGTTTCGTAGGAAGAAACTAATTGATTTAGACAAAATTTTGTGTTCATGTAACCAGATTGTTGCGTTAAAATAGGATATTTTTCACACAAAATATTCGTCGGCAGAAACATATTAAATCTAACCAAATTGTTGTGTTAAAAAATAATATTTTTAACATAAAATATTCGTCGAAAGAAACATATTAAATCTAACCAAATTTTTGTGTTAAAAAAAAATATTTGTAACACAAAATATTCATCGGAAACGACTTACTAAAGCTAACCATTTTGTTGCATTACAAATAGAATATTTGCAACACAAAATATTCGTGGGAAGCAACTCGACAATTCTAACCGAATTTCGTGCTACTGTAACCAAATTATATCGTTAAAACTACAATTTTGTCCGATATTGTAAATATTTTTACTATATATTATTAGTGATGAAAACTGAGAAATAATAATAATAAATTTTATTTTGCATGTAATTTATTAAAAGCATAAAAGAAATTAACCAATGCAATATATTAGCAAAAAAGGAAACTTCTCCATAAAATTAGGTGGCCTAACCACCAAAACTGTCTTAAACGGAGACCACTTTCAACACTTGTTCAAACATAAAACAAAACAACCATGCACTTAACAAAACAAAACATAAACATAATCCGATTGAAAAATGGAACTTGCAAAGTTCCTAAGACTGCCTTCTTCCTAGCTGCAAACTTCCGATTGAAAATTGGAACTTGCAAAGTTCCTACTACTGCCTTCTTCCAAGCGCTGCAAACTTAGTAATCATCATCATCAGGGGGAGCTGTTCTCATCGTCAATACCGTCAGCATCTTCATCATTCACTTTCTCGTCTCCATCTTCATCTTCACCATTCACCCCCTTGTCTCCAGCCTAAATTACAAAGTTAAATAGATTATGATAAGGTTCATACCATTAATCATGCTTAACCAACTAAAAAAACATCAACAAACACTTACCATTGAGGACTCTGCCAAAGTAACTCCTAGCCTCTTCAATGTATCCTCGACAATCTGAGGAATTCCATTCTTCACCTGCACTAGCTCTTCTTATCATCTCATCATTCTTCGCCTTCTCTTGCCTTCGGTCCTCTTCACACCTTTTGCTGCAGCCCTGACCGGAGGTAGGGCCAAAAACATCCACACCGCTTACCCCATAACCCATTCCCAACACACGTTTCCTAGGCTGTTTTCCTACAACCTCACCATAAATCGCAAACTGGTTCACCTCTTCCCCTTGACTCAACTTCTCAGCTTCCTTATTCTTCAATTCAGCCTACACACATAGTAATTAATAACTAATACGCTGAGTTTAAATGATTTAAAAAAAGAAGAAGAAAGCTAAAATTACTTAACACGCAATGCACTTACATGTATGGTCTGAGCTTTTTTGGGGTAGTGAATTCACCATTGCCCTTCTTCACATGGAACTTCTTGAAGGACTCTATAGGATCTGGTTCTTTTCCCGTCTTCTTGATCTGCAAACACAAGAAAAAAGCAGAAGCAGTGAGCTCACACTTCTGGACCTTGGCTTCGTTCTTATTAAATACAAGAGAACATATCGGGTTACCTGATCAAGCCTAAACTTCACCATGGGAACAGATCCGCCAGTAGCAGTGAGCTCAGACTTCTCACGATTGGCTTTGTTCTTATCATTGGTGCTCTGCCGGAGCGTAAACATACATATGCAAATTAGATACAAACACAAATAATCATAATACACAAGTTTAGGCAGCAGTAAATTACCTTCCAGTTTGGATCACTCCACTTGTTAACCATATCCCTCCAAATATGAGCAGGGATTTCAGTAGGTGGATTGTTAATCCTTTCAACAAGGGTAGGATATTGATTGAAGACTCGGTTGCGGAACCCATACATCCATTGGGAAAAGTTCCTCTTGATGTGTTCCTTGAGATGAACATTGAGTTCTTCTTCTGGAAGAGAGCATGTGAACCCAGATTCCTTGAAATCTGCAAAGCAGAAGCAGGGTACTCCGAGAACTTAATCCATGGACCACTGATGCTCCTTTTGAAGATGGCAGTGAGTTCATGGCCAGCCTGTGGTGTGACGATCCTGAAAATACAAAATAACGTTCATAAGGTCTCATTCTCAATGGAAATTACAGCTTGTCACATAGAAGGGCAATATCATGATTTATTACTTGTTGTCATGTATCTCAAGGTGAAGGCCATGTCCAGGCTTCACCCCTATTCCAGGACCTCTGCCATTCTTCTTCTGAGCTGAAGAACCTCCCCCAGTAGAGTGAGCCCGCTGGTTGAGGTTCACATCCTCTTCAAAAGCTATGTCGTCATTCGGGGACTGAACTTCTTCATTCTCCAACTCATTCAAATGTTCACCCTCCCTTGTTTCCTGCTGAGTTTCTGGCACGGTTTCATTTTCCTGAGAAACCACTTCGATAGTCTCTAGAGGGGCTGACCTTCCTGGTTCCTCCACTGGCCTTTTGGAAGGCTTTGACTTCCCAGCCTTTTTTGGCCTTCCCATCTAGCTAGCACAAGCAGATCAATAAAGCTTTTCATTCTGTGTTTTTTATTGCCTGAGGGGAGGTGTTCTGTGTAGGTAAAAGTAATGTGTGAGGACATTCGTTATAAAAAGAATACTCCTAACCAATCGAAGAATCCTAATAAATGTAAACTAGTTCGTTGAGTTGTTTCTAAGAATAGGGTAAAGAATTGAAGGTCAAAAACTCGGATGAATCAAGTAACGGGCAACTCACAATTATTATCGAAAGTAAATGCATGTTGTAATTAATTCAATGAATCAAAATCAGTCCAGACGCTTCGTACCTCCCAGAAACGCAGCAATAAATCTCGATAGCCGTCTCGCGTCTTGCGCCTCTCCATCTGATGATGGATTCTCCGCTGTCTCCTTCACTCAGTCTTAAAGTGGCGAGAGTTTCCATAGCGATTTCCATTCGAGGGAAGTCTGGGGAACTCAATCGATCAAAGGAGGGAATAATTAGGGTTCGTCGTCTGAAATGAGAATAGAAAAGAGGCGAAGGGGAGTTTCCCCTCTTTGAAATCCACCAGTCGATTCTTATCATCATGCGTCGCCATTTTTTGTGTTGGAGTGTGGTGTGGTTTTTTTTTAAAAAACGGTGTTGTCTTTTGTAACCATCGTCGTATAATTTTTTTTTTAATTGAATAATAATTCAAAAGAGGGATAACGAGTATCATTGGCTAATATTTAACCCAATTCTTTTTTTTATTGCGATTTAACCCAATTTTTTCGAATATAAGTGATTTAAATATTAATAAATTTATCTCTAATATACATAATATTTTTTTTTGTGAGTATAGATATTTTAGCTTTCAAGACTATATTCAAGACCAAATAACAATACCATAATGTATATGTTTAACAAAATCAAAATTGATAATAACGGTAAAATAACAAGTTCGTAATGTAGGAAAGAAAAATTTAGAAGTCATATTACATGATTAAAGAAATTCTTCATAACCCATTCCACGCAAGTTTAAGTTAACATCGTCGTCCTCATCCTCGATAACTCGACCCCCATTAGTCATTTCGTCTTCTTGGTATGCTTGTTCTTCTAAAATTTCCTCGACATCCGCCACATTATAAAAATTCCTCGGCCTTGTCTCAACCACCATGTCCCATTCTGGATCTCTGATGAGAAAATACCGTATAATTTTGCACGGAATTTTCTTATCTCTACCCTTCTTATCCTTATAAACTTTCTTCCACCTTGATTTTTTGCATGTGGGGCAAGATGTCACATCTGCCAGCTCGGCGTAGTATAGGACGCAATCGTCCTCACATGCATCTATTTCTTCGTAGTGTAGCCCAAGAGCTTTCATAAGCTGCTTTGCTTCATAGTAATTCTTTGGAAGTGATTGCACCATAGGAAATACAGCCTGGATATACTTGACCAACTAGGTAAATGAATTGTTACTCCAGTTATTCTCCCACTTGATTTTCATAAGCTTTGTGACGAATGACAATCTTGACACATTCGAAACACATCCCTCGTACAACGGTGATTGGGCCTCTCCGAAAAGTTTGTACAAATTTTGAGCTTGGGCATTAGGTTCTTCCAGATTCGCTAATGGAGCCATGAGGTCGTTCAGAAAACCAAGCATATCATCTACATCCATATCGTTATCTTCACCCATATCGCCATCATCTCCATCGTCTATTTCCATGTTATCATCACCCAATTCTGGACCTTCATCGTCATCTTCTTCATCTTCGTCGACCTCGCCATGGTAAATCCATTTAGTGTAGTCAGTTCTCATTCCTTTATAAAGAAGATGTCCTTCTACATGGTTCACTGTCATTCTACGCACATTACCACATTCCACGCAAGGACACCTTATTAGACCATCATCGTCTTTAACATGGTCTGTTGCGTACTTCGCGAATTTCTCCATTCCCGCAATGTACTGTGTGCATGCCCGATTCTTCAATTGTATCCAAGCTTTGTCAATAGGTTCCATACCTATAGATATGTAGGAAATTTATGTTATTAGACAATATTACAAAAAAAGTATAACTAACTTAATTATTCAGGTAAATTAAATTGTCGATGTAGAAATAAAAATAATCCAAATTAAATCAAATATTTATACCTTCACTTTGCTTTCATATATAAAATAAAGAAACAAATTGTTAATTACATTCAATATAATTTTAATTGATGTACAACTAGAAACTTAACTACTTCCACTTTAATCCGTGTAATCACATTCAAACAAATACTAAATTAATAGTCTTCCTTTACCCAATAAAATAATAAATTAATAAAGTTAATAACGTTTGGGGAAAAAAAATAAAGTTAAGCTGCGTACAACTACATACTATATAGACACCAATAAAATAATAAATTAATAAAGTTAAGTTGGAAAAAAAAATTAAACAAAGACATGGTCGTTTTGAAGAGCGGAGGAACTGCTTACCTTCCATCCCTAAACCGCAGCCGATCGCCAGACCTACTCCCTCGCGTCGTTCCAGGCGTATTCTCAATCGGCGGTGCAGTTTGGCGGTGGAAAAACGGCAACTCTGAATCGCTTTCTTTGCTCTTTCAGATTGGGAAAACTACATAATCATAATCTGTTTATCTTACTGGGATTTTATAGTGGTTTATGGCGAATTTGGGTCATGGTGGATTGATTTCTTCTTCCCCTTTAACCCTTTTGCCGCAATTAAGAGAAACTGACCGGATGAACATACTCCATTCATTGAACCAGTTTTGATGCCATTGTATCGTTCCCTTTTCCTGTAATTTCGAAATTAAATGGTCTGCAGGGGAAGAACCGGCCTTCGTTTATTGCAAGGGGGGAAGAAACACATTGAACTGATCTGCAGAAGACAGAGAGTTCTCTGCAGTTATGATTCTGTTACACGATTATTAGATACAAAAAATAAAAAAAGTACATAAATTGTGTGTAGCGTAACTAGTTTGGAATCTCCTTTATGAACATGTGGTCCTGGGTTCGAGTTGCATCAATAAATTATTTTTTAAAGTTTTTTTTCATTATGAAATCCACTTATCTACTATTTCGGAAAACAATATTTCTAACCAACTATTACTAACAAATCCATTTTCACAATCGTAAAAAGCAACCGAAGGGTAAAAACGGTATATTTCAAAAACATATTTCCCACGACATCATAATTCGTCAGTAATGTTTGAATTTTGACGATTTTTTTCAATATTATTGACGAACACAAGTTTGCTCACTAATATTGTTTTTTTCCCGCAAGTTTTTCAAACCAACTATTCATTAAGGATGGAAAATATGTGGTCATTAAGATGGGTCGGGCAGCTACATGTAGTGTGCATTTGTTCCAACCATCTTTTATTGACAATCGTATTATCACCATCGAAAAAAATAATAATTTTTATGAGAAGTTACTAAAATCCTCGCAAATAAAACTATACCAAACAATTATTTTCCGAGTAAATGTTTTTGCGTCAAAAAAATGTTATGGACCCTATGTCAATTTTTTGGGCGTCACAAACAATGATTATTTCTGACGGTTTGCTTAGGATGGTTAGTAATGTTATAAATTATTGACGAAAATAAAAATATCGCCAATAAAAATGACACTACCTTCCTCATACATGTGAAACTCACCTTTACTGAGGAATTTTTTTAACATTTATGATAAATTTAGCTATTGGTTGGAAATAACATTAGTTTTTATGATACAAATATAGTTTTGTCACAAAAACAGTTATTTCCAATGAAAAAACTATGTCGTCAGAAGGTTTTGGTCACTTCTACCACTCTTTTTTGTAGTGACCCATGGGATTTGCTTCAGGACCCAGATCCTTGCTTCTTCACTCGGCAATACGAGCTCAAACAGGCCATGCTTTGTCACCAACACCCTCATTTGTCCCTACACCTACAATGGAACGATCAAAGCATCCCTTAGCTCCATGGTTGTGATTTTGGTATCGGTGAACAGTCTTCCCAATAATGTGCGGGATGTTCAAAACTTCATTGATTGAACCTCCTTAAGCGAGAATTGTACCACCTGATCCTCCGTAACATGAGCCATCGTGTTCACCTGAAAAGAAGAGGGTGATAATGTGCTATTTAGTTCGCATCGTATGGCCCTGCTCGGCCCCTCAATGGGCAAGATGCAATCAAGCAATGGGAGGGAGGAGGTTAAGTTGCTTTGGCAATAGAGGATTGGATATCGCGAAAGAGCAGGGAAGAGAACTTTGGGGATTAGTCCATATACCTGAATAGATCTCAACAGTAGTTTGTTGTTGCAAAGGCTCTACAAGTCTCACTTCCTCCGAGAACGCTTCTCGTCGATTGCAGTGTATGAGAGTGCGTATGAGAGGTCATTAATTTTATAGGCGAGATTAGAACAAGAAACCCTACAAAACAGCCAATCCCGCCTCTTTGAGTTGGACCGGGACTAGGAGTCCACCATTGGGTAGGGTTGTCCGTTCGGGTCGGGTTCGGTTACCCGAACCAAAACCCTACAAAACCCGAAAACTAGAACCCGAAATCACTGAAAACCGAACCCAAACCCTAATCCGATAAGGACTTTCGATTTTCGGTTACCCAAAACACGAAAATTCCTCATTGGGTTCAGGTTCGGTTAAAGCAAAACCGAAACCCTAAAACCCGAACGTCTAAGAATACAGGCTGAGTGCTATTTTTTGGATGTTTTCATCCGAAATTCGAAAAAATCGATAAGCGAAACCGAACCCAAAATCCGAACTTGAAAAACCGAAAATGTATCTAATTGGGTGCATTTCGGGAAAACCCGAATGGACACCCCTACCGTTGGGTTTTAATATATATATATTTTTTTTACTAGGATAGGGCACAACCAAATCCCTCCCAACAAACATGGGAGATTGGGATAGAATCTTTTCCCAACAACCCAGTTGTGTCTCGGCCCTATCGGACGGATGTGGATACCGGCGTCTGTAGAGCTCAAGACCGGCTCGCCGCCGGTGACCGTAGGGCTCCAGGGATTATCCATACTACTCGCCAGCAATGGTTCGTGGCTACTCTCAATCCCTTCCTAGGAAGACGTTCACCTTTCTTGGATCGATTCCAGCTCACCTTTTGGTTTTTCAAGATGGTAGCAAAATGGGCAACGATCACCCTCGTCAGCCATCGCCCAAGCAAGGAACATAGAACAAGGAGAGAGGAGAGAGCTCCTCTCGTGATTTTTTTTCTAGGAAGTTAAGAACTCTTAAGTTTCCGGTTCATAACTTTTTAGCGTCAATTTTTTTTCGTTGAATCATATCCATTATTATTAAGGAACAGTATCGCAAAACACGATACTAACTTATAAAACGAAAGAGGAGAGACCATTGTGGTCCCCCCTATAAAAGATGTAACAACTCAACCTCTCTACATCAAACTATACTCCACTCTAAAGGAACAAAGATCAACTATGATAGCGTTCTAGCAAACCCATACACTCAAAATCAGTGGCTAATGAGAAATCACCACTCAATCTACAACTCATATCATACTTAAAACCTTTCCACACATCCTCAACACTCCTATGGGGTTCTCCATGGATTTTGCGACACTATTCCCTCCATATTGCTGCAGAAACACCACACCAAATCACATATATAACTCTCCCTACCCGTGTTTTTTCCTTCGCCGTCATACTTGCTGAATTTAGCACAATGTCCCAAGGGGCAGTAACCCAATAGTGCACCCCCAGCGACATGCAAAAACTGCTGCACAAATATGCAAGCAACGAATAAGTGCTCCCTGTCCTCACTTTCAATCCCACAAAGCAAACAATGATCATCACCAATCCTCCCCCATTTATGTAACTTGCTACGAGTCGTCAAAGCATTTATCACTATGAGCCAAGCAATGAAACTAAACCTAGGGATACCATGTTTTCCCCATATCAACTTGTGTCAGATTTGCTTGTTGCACTTAGGTCGAAGAGTGTTCCAAACTCGCTTAGCAGAGTATTGCTCCATAGGCTGCCCATCCCAAAGAACTTTATCACCCTGCTTACAGAGAAGATGTTGAACCTTAGAACGGAGCCGCAATACCTTCCTCTATGCCCAAGAGCTGTTGGAGTTGATTTTTAAAGCCCACACGTCTTCCCCTTTGCAACGATACGCCATCACCCAGGCCACCCACAAAGCACCAGACTGCATCAATATGAGCCATAGAAGCCGTAAAGAACAAGCCTGGTTCCAAGAAGACAGATCTCTCAATCCAAGACCACCCTCATTTCTTGGTAAATCAATGCGATGCCATGCAACTTTAGCTCTTCCTGTTTCCTCACCATGCCAGAGAAAGTATTGGCACACCTTCTCGACTCCTTTCAGAACCTTCTTGGGCAAGATGATAATTTTAAGCCAGTATTGGACCACACTCACCAAGACAGACGCCACCAATTGCAACCTCCCTACATAAGTGAGCTTCTTTGCTCTCCAAGACGTGACTTTCTTAGTAATTTTACCGATAAGGAGATTATATTCCTTTTCTGTGAGTTTACCAGAATGCAGAGGCAAGCCTAAATATCGTACTGGGAGGAGACCTTCTCTAAAGCCAGTATCAATTCGGAAGCCTGGTATCATAAAAAATTATTAAATAAATAAAAAAATCTCGTACGGTTTTTTAATTAATTCAAATTGATGTTTGCCAAACTTATAAAACTAGAAATGCAACTCCAAAATTTCTCAAATTAATACCCAAGCATGCTAAAAATGTTTTCTAATTTATAAATTTATCAAATCATGAAAAAAAAACCACTATACATAATTGACAATAAACACATCCATGAAAAATATGATTTTCGGGCCAATTGTCAAAATTTAAATCATCATGGACCAAATAACCGGCAGGGAAAACTATATATCAACTTGAAATTACGGCCTCTCCAGGGTTCGCCGCTTGTGAAAAAATCTAGTTTCCCGACGAGGCTCGATATGCACAAAAATGAGCACGAATCGAACTCAAATTTTTACGGGAAACGTTACCCACCTCTAAAAAAAGTCGATGACGCCTTTCTTATGCTTCTATTCGTCTCGAAACATCTGAATCGAAAATAAAGTGCGTCCACCTCCAGCGAGCTTCAATCGAAAAGAGAAAAGTTTGAATTAGGTATCTATTATTAGGGGGAAACATCTGGATAGCTAGGGGGAAGGTTCAATTACCTTTTTCGAGAAGTTTGGTGATCTGATTCGGCCGATTAGTGGTCGGATTTCTGATGACTATGTTGTGACCTAAAAACCTCAAAATTGACGGAGTTTAGCCAAAGTCGAATGTCCAAACCTTGGGGAAACTCAAATGGGCGCTAAAAGAGGCTTACATGTTCGGTGATTGGCCTTGAAGTGGTCGTAATCAAAGAATTGGGTTTCCGGGCTCTTTGAAAATTGGGTTATTGGGTGAGTTTGATCTGAAACTTAGTTGTGACTTTTTTAGGAGTCTTCTTCTTCCTGTTGACACAAAAATCAGGTCTCAAATCTTCATCAATCGCCACGAAACTGAAGTGGTAAAACCTACCCATAAACCTGAAAATTTTGTTTATGAAAAACATAATTGAGATGTCAACTTTGCAAGTTACGTTCAAAGCCTTATTGGTCAATTCGTGGGTCTAGTTTGGTCTAGACTTCAAGTAATATTCACCTTCTTTCCAATGGTACAAAAATCAAACCCTAAACCCCTGAAAGAAAGCCCCGAAAACGTTATCTCAGTTTGTCCCAAGGTTGAAGATGCAAAAGAATACACTTGATGCTAGGAATGCGTTAGGGTGGAAACTGAATTTCTAGTAGTCACCGTGGCTACATCAGTATCCACCATTTATTTTCTTCTCTTTCCTCTTTTTTTAATCTTACGGTTAAG